TCTTCATAGGCGAGCAATTGTTGGACTACCTCCCTGTCACCCTTTTTCGTGGCTTGATGCAACAGTCTCTGACCATCTCTATTTCTAGAATTAGGATCTGCGCCATGGGCAATGAGTAGGGCGATGACATCATGAAGGCTTGCCTGTACAGCCTGACGGAGCAGACGGTTTCTGATAGTGACATCCTCCAGTAGGGTCTTTCTTGAATTGGAATCTGAATGAAGGAGTAACAGCCGGGTAATTCTCGGGGTCTTCCGGGCAATGGCAAGGCTGAGTGGTGAAAATTGTTTGTAATCTGGCGTTCGTATATCGCTGCCCCGTTCCAGAAGGACTTGCACCAGATTCTCATCGCAGGACGCGATGGCGTACCAAATAGCAGACCGGTTCTTGATATCCGTTATATTCAGACATGGATTAAAATCCAGTAAAAGTGATGCAGTAGACAGAAGATTCCTTTCAATGGCATATACCAGTGGGGTCTGCCTGCGTTGATCTTGCCAATTGATATCCGCTCTCTTATCGACAAGAAGCGTGCGAATAATTGTCTCGTTCTTAGTGCGCATTGCATGAAAAATTGGTGTGCGAGATCTATGGTCCGTTGTGTTGGCGTCCGCTCCGTAGTCGTCCAACATCATTTTTACAAATTTCGATTTGCCTCGGCGGACTCCCCAAAACAAGGCATCGCTGCGTTGGTGTCGGACGTTAAACCTGTACAGATAGTCGAGGAAAAGATCATTCGCTGCTTGATTGAGACAAGCCAGCGCAAGCAAATCTCTGGCTTGATCCAGGCTGTCCGCTATGCAAAGAAGCATTTCAGCAGGAAGATTGAGGAGAAACATCTATCCGTTACGTTAGTATTAACTCATGCACCAAGTCGTGTAGTAAATAGTGGAGGCGGGCATACTCACATTGAAATGTTGGGGTTAAGAGGAGCTGATTACGGCTTGGTTCGTGTGGAATTGGCCTGGTAGGTGACTTGAATAGAAAGCTGAGAGATGGAAGAGAATGCTTGACTGTCTTATATGTATCAGAAGATAATATCTTGTGGCAATCTGTCTGAGCTCAGGATTCAGGATGACTTCTTGTACGATAGGAAATTAATGGGAAAAAATTCAAGAACGAATTAGGCTCCCGGGAAGCAGTATTAGCTACCAGGACCCCTACCATGTGAGTACACACGGTTCAAGCGCGGTGGATCCCGGGTTGAAAGAAACGATTCTGAATCGCCAATAGATGGCAAGGCCCTAGATTTCCCGGCGTACGTCAGGCCCTCCCTGATATATACCTCGTCATTAATGCGAGGAGTTGCTACTTCCTGGAGCAGCCAATCGGGCTCCCGGGAGCAATGGTCTTGTATGTGATGATCATGCGGATGCAGAGGTTGATAGGGTCTCGGATCAGCAATCGACATTAAGGAAACCTATAGCTGACGCTAGACAAGTTGTAGCGCGAGGAAGCAATAGAGAGAAGCTTCCTCGCGTTTAGGGAGACCATATGTGGAACAAAAATGGGGGTGCCCCGAGTCATAGACACGGCTAAACAGCGATATGATTATTCAGGCGCTCACACACCGCATGCACCATGTGGGTCACGGGCAGATCATATCTCCATCCGTATGCTTCATGTATAGGACTAGGTGGCTCCTAGAACCTACTCCTTTGCACCCAGAAACATTTCAGAGGCCTCCAGGAGCAAGAGAGCTCCCAGGGCCAAGACAGTGTGTTCCTAGCACAGATAGAACCGCCGACAGGAACGTGACCGATTCTTGATAGTGATGATGGATAGTCCTACAAGCAACGTACGATTTGCTGTGACTATGGTATTTCCTGAGTCTCCGTTTTGAAGAATTTACGAACACCAAGTTTGATGGATGTTTACACAGAGCAGATCGTTGGTCGGCGGCCCGCAGATGTTTCCGATGTCTTGGGAGTAAACCAGCTTCTGGAATCACCCTGGGCTCCCAGAGTCTGCTATCTTTTTAATAAGGGCGTTAGGTGCTCTTTGATTGGTCGGTCGCTGTATATACCATACTAGTGCACTTCTTGGAAGAGCGTTTGACCGGGACGTGACGTTGTGGGTGAAGAAATACAAAATACATGCTTCACGTCCAACCATTTCCATATCTTCTCTCCGTGATATGCTCCCACATATTCTCCCACAAAGTAGCCCCTCATCACTTGACCCAAAAATCAAGTGCTTATGATCTCTTCCGACAATGCCGATCCATTTCACTTCAGAGAACCGTTTTCTCCAAGTGGGGATCAACCATGGTAACATTTATCCATGTACCGAACCAAGACCAGTCATTCACCCCCAAGACAATTTGATTTCAAATTCGGAAAACCATATCGATGCTGCTACAGCAACAGCTCTGGATCATGCTTTGAACAAAGCCCAAAGATGTCTAGACATGGTTCAGGACACAGCATCTCAGAATACCCAAGTTGTTGGAGTTGCGGAACGCTTTGGCAACCTGCTTCTGAGCCTGCAAGGCCTCAACGCTAAGCAGTGGGGCTCTCTAGACGATGGTGTACTATCCTGTGTCTTTTCACTCTTATATTGCTGCATCGCGAAATGCTACGAGCTCGAATCTACTCCGCTAGCAATGTCGTCGCTACGGGATGGCCTTGCCGCCTGCAATTTGGCTCTTCAATGTGTGCATGGCGCAGCTTTGATGTATGCCTCGGTTCCTCCATCTCCTGCTTATCATAATTCTAACCAAATCGCTTTTTAGAAATCAGGACAACAAGAGATCAGTATCTTCACAGCAGCAGAAAGTCACGGAGGCCATAGAAGGAGCGGGCAACAAAAGATTCGAAAATGCGAACGGAATGAGCCCAGCGAGATATCATTCACAGGCGGTCCTGAATTTGTTAAAGAACACTCGTGAGCCAGATGCTGCGGCGGCATCTGGCGACATGCATGTGAGAATCGGCGGAGGAAACCGTGGTATTCAAGTCGCTGCGTATCATGGAAGCATGGGACAATTAACTTTTCCTCTCTAGAAGCCCCAGCAGATTTGACGAAATTTTGCATGCTGTGCATCTGGATATACTGCTCTGGATGTCTATTTGCTGTTTATATGGACAGAGACAGAAAATGCGCATAAAACAAGGAAGATTCCACTCTTTCCTGGACTTCATTTTCCCCGTAGCCTTCAGCCATGGAAAAAATCAAGCCCAAGCAAATTGATATCAGACCAATAAGGCCTAATAAGTAGACTTTTCCGCTTACTTCTGGAGGCAGTAATGGGACGGCCTCCGTCTGGGCACCAATTGGAGCGAACGGGGCGACCCATCGAGATAAAAACACCTGCTGGACTTATCCATAGCGAACGACCGAGCACGTCAAATGACACGAATTACGTTCTGACTGGAAGAAAAGAGTTCTCTTGCTGATTCATATCAGTAGAATTCTGAACTAATACAGCATTGTGGCCTGCAGGAAACGTTATCTGCGTTGCGTATCGTTACCCGGGAATCGGCCAAGTCGTGTTTGTTTCCGGGGAAATACTTTTGCCGAGAAACGGGATCAGCAGACATCAGCCAAGTGGACTAAACCGCCGATCGGGGCCTCTCACAGGGTCTCGCTCTTTTCTTTACTACACATCGATAATCTTAATTGCGGCGAAGAGCACGGCAAGAGGAACCTGAGGACGGAATGCGGGCAAGAGCGGTAGATGTGGTAGATGAAACAGCCTCTACAAGCACACCCTTGGTAAGATCAGGAATAGTTGACTTGATGGCTGCCAAGGCACTGAATGTAGGTGTTCCGGTGCATGGCGGCTCACCTTCGCGAAGAAGATGATTCATTTGGCCATTGTGCTCCACAATGCTTCCTGGCTGAGGAAACCGAATGTCCACGTTCTCTTTGGTGACGCAGCCATTTATGTTGGCGACGAACATGGGTGGGAAATTAGGCGTTTGCTTTTGTATGCTCTTGTGGCATTGTTGCGATGAGGCATTACCCACGGTGATAGGGGCACAGTTCATATACATCTCACGATTCCCAATACGATTGAACCACGTCCAGGCCAATGTATATTTCCCGGGGTTAATGCCTTCGGGGATTGTGAAATCGAGGTGAAGGGCATTGTCGGCAGTGGCGCCTCCGGTGAGTTTCTCTGCCTTCGTGGGGCAGCCTCCTTCATAGGACTTGATGACCTTCCATTTGGAATCTTTGGTTGGCTCACGGTCTTCGGTCAGGCTCAATTGGCATGAGCCACCACCGTGTGTCGCACTTCCTTTGAACTTGATTATGTTTTCAATGCCGATCTGGTAGACAGTTTCTGTTGAAGGGGCCAAGAATGCATCTGTGCGTAGTTTACAGGGAAAATCGCTACCGTGTTCAGCGAGAGGAGAGTTGTTGAGGGTTTCCTTGCTGTAGGGCTCAGGGGACATCATGATCAGATGTCCGCTGACCGCCCGTAAGACGATCGTCTCCAACAATAGAATATATTTGATGAGAATCATAATAGTGGAAGGCTCGGTTGATCTTCGCTATATTGGAGCACCACTTGACGGATCGAATTCCTCGTAGAGGTCTAAGAATTTGGAAGTCGAGGAGACGTTTAATTTATATAAGATATGCAGCAAGACACAACACCAACACTGTTAATTCATTGAAATCAATGTGAAAAGAAAGTTGATGTGAGTCAATCAAAGGTTTGCTCAGAATAGTGATGCCACATATAAGTGCTTGTTCGAAGCTCATGAGTAGGACAGATGAATGGGTTGAAAGCGAAAACTCATCACATATCTGACACTTTATTCAATATTGGCAAGTGGATGTGTTAACCCGATGGTGCGGCTTTGTTCCTAGTCTGTCCCAGTTCCATATCACAACATGATGAAATGAACACTCTAGGAATGCAAATTCCAATTTGGCGCCGACATTTTTTGCTCCTATGAGTGGACCGACAGTGTACTGGTGAGTCAATTAAACGATATTGGAGGGCTCAATTGTAACTCACCAGAGTCAACGAAGCTAGAGGGAAACGTGAAAAAGACCACGCAGTACAGTATAATATCAGAGAGTTCGAACCTACTGTGTATGGGACGCTAGAAATCTTGGAATCAACTCTTGTTGTAGGAATATCTGAGATGCTGTTGACATCGTTTGCATTAGGAGCATCATAAAGGTAGCCCGTATTGACGCAGTTTTCTGCATCTTACCTACTCGCATCTTGATCATGTCAAGGCTTTGGCCTATGCCGAAGTACATATGCGCAATTGCCGATCTTTGCACGTCCATGGTCAATTGTTGTCTGTTCGCAGTACAAATTAAGCCTAGAAGTTTCTGTCGTTCTCAATAAATTTGTACCCAGCGCCGGTTCTCTACAGGCTCCTTGAAAATACATCGAACACGCCCAACCTCAGCCGGTAATATGTCTCGGAAACATAGGAAACCTCTTCCCCCGTTGTTGCCGGCTCAGCCTTTCCCAG